ACAAGGATGTGTGAGATATAAATTAGTGACACCATCAAATGTTGGCCAGGATGCAGAGAAAACTGGATCTCATCCACTGCTGGTAGGAATGTAAAATGGCATAGCCACTCTGGAAAACAGTTTGACAGTTTCTTAAAATACTCAACACATCTTTACCCTCTGCCCAATATTTCTCCTCCAGGGCATTTATCCCAGAAACAAAAACAAAAATGCATTTTTACAAAAAAATGTACATAAATATTTCTATCAGGTTTACTTCTGATCGCCCCAACTTGGGATCAACCGAGAGGGTTAAATGTGCTATGGTCACATCATAAAAAATGATGTGACCTTTTCAGCAATGAAAAGGAATTAGATATTGATAGATGCCACAACCTGGATAGACCCCCCCCAGAGAATTATGGTGACTGAAAAAAAAACCAACTCCTCAAAGGTTTCATGCTGTGTGATTACATATATATAACTTCCTCAAATGTAAAAATACAGAAATAGTGGTTGCTAGAGCTTGGGGAGGAGGTTGGAGTGGGTGGAGAAGTGGGTGAGGTTATAAAAGGTGCACAGGAGGGAGGGGTCATTATGGTGCTGAAAATGTTCTGTGTCTTGAGTGTGTCAGCGTCAGTAACCTGTTTGTGATTCCTGTTTGGAATATATTACCATTGGAGGAATCTCTGTATTATTTCTTACAACCACCTGTGGGTTGACAACCATCTTCATATAGCAAGATTAGTTTTAAAAACACTTCTCAAGCCTGGGTTGCTGCCTATACCTATTAAATTGTAATATTTGGGGTGAGACACCATCAATACTTTTCTTAAGTGATTCCAATGGGGAATGAATTGGGGAAATCACAGAGCCGGGTATCTCAGAAGCCGCCAAGAAGAGCTTTTTTTGTAGTGCTGGTTTTCAAACTCAGGGCCTTGCTCTTGCTAGGCAGGCACTCTTCCATTTGAGCCACACCCCCCAGCCTTTTTGCTTTAGTTATTTTTGGGATAGAGTCTCGAATTTATGGGCTGTAATCCTCCTAGTCATGCTTTCTGCAAAGCTGAGATCACAGACATATGCCACCATATCCAGATTTTATTGGTGGAGATGGGAGCTCATGAACTTTTTGCCTGGGCTGGCTCTGAACCACTGTCCTCCCAATCTCTGCCTTCTGAGTAGCTAGGATTATAGGCTTGCACTGCTGTGCCTGGCTCCAAGGAGACCTTTTAGAAGGGAAAGGAACAAAAACATTTCCTAAATTCTATCTATGGAGATGTTTTTGTAACAGGGAACAACGAAAACCATCCTGTTACATTTTGGCTACAGCTCCAGTCAATGGGAAGGAGATGCCTTGGACATTCCTTGCTCATCCCACAGGCTTCTAGTCTTAAAGCTTCAAAAACTGAAAACTTACACCTAGAAGCCAGCCTTATTAACTACTTCATAACTGGTATATCTCACCAAAAATATTTTAAAAAGCCATTTCATAAATACTGTGATTTCTTCTTTGTTAAGTCTACTCTGAGCTGGGTTATACACTTGCCTGGCTAAGGTATCACAGGTGTGTTGTTCTGTACTGAAAGTAACACTCCACCCACACCTGGCTGGCATTTCAGCTCTTTTAACATTCACTTCCTTGCTTTCCAAGAAATTTCTTAGAGATCCCACTTAAACTTGTCACAACAAGCACCCTCTGTAGTGCAAACTGTAAAAAGGAAGGAGAGAGAAAGCAATCGAATCTTTCTGCTCAGTAAACTTGCACACAGTTTGACCTCTACCCTGACTCCCACACAACCTTGAGAGCATTTCTAGAATGTTCTTCACTCACCTGATAGCATTATCATAGTCTGTTTTTTGGCTTAAGCCTTATCTTTTTCTTTTAGATTAAGAACACTGTTAACTGCAGTAGTAGAGTTACATTAATGCAGTGACAGGAGGCAACCTTATCACGTGATATCTGCTTTTCCTCTAGGATGACATTTTTTTTTATTGCACAAAGGTTCATTTTCTCAACGAGGCCTAGGGGAGAAACACAAATTAACCCTATGCATCAAGGCTTCTCTCTTATCAAGTCAACTTCCTGTTTGATTTTTATGCTCCAAGTATCACAAGTACAGCAGTTGGCTCCATACAGACTAAGGAAAGACTAAGCTGCCTTTGGTACTTGTTTTTGTTTCCAAGAAATCTCTTTTTTTTTCTTTTTGTGGTACTGAGGTTTGAACTCAGGGCCTTCACCTTGAGCCATTCCACCAGCCCTTTTTTGTGATGTGTTTTTCCAAGATAGGGTCTCTTGAACTGTTTGCCTTGGCTGGCTCTGAACCACGATCCTCCTAATGTCTGCCTCCTGAGTAGCTAGGATTACAGGTGTGAGCCACCGGTGCCCTGCAAGAAATCTCTTTGGATTAAGATGAAGCTGTCTTGTCTGTGTACTGTAGTGAGTGTGTGTAAGTCCATGTGTCATAGACAAGAGCTTGATTCTTTTATTGGTAAGCAAAACAGAAGAGTGGGGAGTCATTTAAGACAGAGGCTCTTCTGGACTTTAATGCACAGACATGTAACATTAAATTCAGTTAATGACAACCAATGAAAAGCAAGCTGCACACAAAGATTACCTTTTACCCCATGATGTAAAGTTTCCACTCAGCAACATCTGGAGACCATACAGTCCAGATGACTTCCTGCTTGGAGGCAGGAAGCCACACTCAACCCTGGCTCTCTGTGAACCCAGCTTGTTGTTGAACCATTCACTCTGCTTCTAATTCACAGTGCTTCAGATCCAAATTCTCTCACTTTGTTCTCCAAGTCACGGAGCCCTCTCCACACCCATCCCTCTGCTGAAGCCATTCCTGTTGCACAAAATGTGGTCCCCTGGCTTCTGACCCATTGGCTCCCACTCAGGATCCAGGTCTCAATACTATCCTTCCTATATCCCCGTCTCCTACTCCAGTGTTAGTCTCTGACTTGGCACCCTGTATATGTCTCAGTCCTACTCCAGGAGCTGACATTTAATAGAAAAATATCTGTGAAATTAATAAATGTTCCTTCAAAAATTAACAAGTACTTTCTTCAACCAAAAAAAGAACCTAAGGAAAAAAAACCCCAGATATCACACCATTGCTTTACTGACATTTTAATGACGAATATTTTTAGTAAAAAACAGACATGTATAGATAATCAAACACAAAGAATGTATTGAGTAGCTCAGTCATTCCAAGTCAGAGGCTGCCTTCTAACACTGACAAGGAGGTTGTTCTCATAGAACTTAAGTTGGTGTCACACTGAGTGGCTTGTGAGCCTGACCTGACTATCCCACTTCACATCTGTTCCTTCCTGGCAACACTTACGTCATCTATTACTTGTCCCATTCATCTGCCCAGTAGGCACCTCCACTGCTTTATGAATCCTGCTGATCTGCTCAACTAGCTTTTAAGCTCCCGGAGAACGGGCACCAGTGTGTCAACAGTAACAGCAAATTCTACTGTGTGCTGCCTAGTGCCTGTCATAATGCCGCATGCTTCCCTGTGTGACAATGCTTGCTGGAGGGGGTTAAGAAAGAGTAGGAGAGGGGGTGAATTTGATCCAAGTACATTATATGCATGTTTGGAAATATCACAGTGAAACCCTTTTGCACAATTAATATATGAGAGAGAGAGAGAGAGAGAGAGAGAGAGAGAGAGAGAGAGAGAGAGAGAGAGAGAGAGAATGAATAATATGTATTATGGGGCCATTCTTTTAAACTCAGGCAGAATGATCACAGAGCCTGCACACACTCTTCTCAAACCTTTGGGGAACTGCCTGTTACCTCCTCTGTAACATGGGAAGGGTAGCAGTATCTGCCTCAGATACTACAGTACATTACCTCTTCTGGGATATTTCCTGGGAGGCCGATTTCCCATGATACAATCACAGTGGACGGATTTCCTAAGATGAGACTTTCAGCACTAAAACTGGGACTGCAAGCCTTCCTGGGACATGGGACTTTCAGTGCTAAAGCCAGGGCTTTACAAGATGCCTAGAGCAACCTCTGGCACACAGTAGATCCTCGTTAACGTTAGTTGTTTGTGCTGCTATTGCCATTGCTCATGATAAAGTCCTGTGTCCCAGGAAACCCCTCAGACCCAGTTGTAGCATGAGAAAGTCTTGGGGCTGGGCAAAAGTTCATCATGGGTCCACATGGCTGGCCTTGGTCAGGGAACCTGCTTGTGTTCTGATAGTCACTCTACTGCCCTGCTTTTCTTTCATAGCCCACCCAAAGTCCCCTTTATGTCCTGTAATTGCTCCCCCGTCCCCGTTACAGTATTTTAGGAAACTGCACTCCTCCACTACAGGGTGTAGTGAAGAAATCGTGTGCCTTCTTCACACATTGTTCCACATAGGTCTTTGCCTTGTTTTCCCCTCTTGCTAAGCACAAGCTATTCTTAGCTCGGAAATAACTGGCAAGGCTAAAAAAGGCCTCCCTAGCTGGATGAAGCCCTGGCATCTGGTGCCTCCTGCTGCTTTTCCACGGGAAAAGCAAAGGACTGAGAAGAGCTTCATTCTCTTACCCGGGTCATAGGAGAAATCGGTGTAGAGGTGCTAACTTGACATTAGACTCGTTTACCCTGCCTTGGAATCACCCCTGTGACTTTTGGCTGTTTGTTTTGCCTTTGAAAAAACCGGTGTTTGCTTAATCATGCATTTCTCACTTACACTTACTTCCTTGATTTCCGGCTGTTTTGCTTTGGGGGTTCGAAGTTTGGCGAAGCGTGGTACTGGCACGCGGCGGTCGGGAGTGGACAGGCGGCCGTCTGGGGACCTTGGGGATCCTCCGCATGGTCCAGGCTCCCCCGCTAGCCGGAGCACAAATCTGCCCGGATTCAGAGCGCGCGCTTGCGGCCAATGGGACGCCGGAGCGCGGCTGAGTGCCACGCGGAACGAACCAATGATAATGCACTTTGTGCTATTGGGCCCGCCCCCCGACTTGGGCCCTATAAGGTCCGCCTGGCGCGCGCCGGAGCGCAAGTGGCGGCGGGAGGTGGTGTCAGCAGGTGACCGCAGCCGTCTGTGAGACGGCTGAGCGCAATCGGCGGAGGGGACAGCGCTGCCACCCAGAGCCTGCGCGGAGCCGCCCCCAGGGGAGGGCGAGGAGCACCTGCAGCAGTTGTCAGGTCCGTGCACAGCCTGCATGCCTTCCGGGTCCCTCCCTCTGTCCTTCCTCTCTTCCCTCCAGCTGGGTACCGAGTCACTGTCACACCATGGTCTCTGCCCCAGGAACATTGAGTTCCTAGAGAGAGACATCTGGGCCCCAGAGAAGAGAGAGCTGTCCCTTTTAGAAGACGGTTTTAGACTAACTTCTAGTGTCCGAAACGCCCAGGACCGTTGCCCTAGCTAGGTGTCTTTCTCTTCTCTCTCCCAGTCTGGGGGTGCTGTGGTCTTATTTAGCTTTGTGACCCTCAAGGCAGAGTGGACATATCGGGAAGAGGTAGTGCAGACTGGTGACTATCTTTCAGACACTTGATCTTTACTGATGTAGTAACAGCAAAAAAATAGTGGCTCTTCTGTAATCCTTCCAGTGAAAGTTTTCGGAGATCCAGCTCTTCCTAAACTTCGGGGGCTCAGACATGTAAGACTTTCTAATTTCTAACCTCATGGTTTCCTAGTAAGACCTCTTGTCAATAAATGTCTCACTTAAACCATTTCAGAAAAGTGTTCACTGGTGATCTGAGCAAATGTCAGCAAAAAGGACTTAGAAGACTGTTTAACCGATGTCTGAGAGACTCTTGACTGTACTGTAAAAATGGATCCCAACACCAGAAGATCAAGATGAAGGCAGTGTGGAGAAGGTATGCTGTGTACTCCGTCAAGGGTCACTGTGTATGGGATTTGATTTCTGAGAGAATTGCATGCCTGGATCGTGGACATGTGACTGGGGAACAGGGCCTGGGGGCTTGTTCTTATGCAGAGGTTTATGGGCTGGTCCACAGGCATTTAGTACCGGTTTATGTGCCTGTTTGGGGCACTGTGCTCATATGTGAGGATTCGAAAAGCATCCAAGGATAGCGTGATAACTGTTTTAGTGCCATCTGCAGAGTAAGGAACTAGAACTTAGGAAAGAATAGGTAAGTAGAAGAGGTCACACAGTGAGTAGGAGTGGGGTGACCAGGACTCTAACCCCTGCTCTCCTTGCTGCTTTAAATTCCTGCTGCTTTATTTCTGAAGCAATTGAGTCTTAGATAGGGATAGTCAAGATGGGAAAAAGGGTTGCAGTGGAAAAAGGCTCTAAGAAAGTCAGGACTGATTTGAATGTGTGTGGGTAAACTGGCTGGATTTCAGGTTTAGGGACAATTGAGAGGTCAGATGTGGGTAGAGTATGGTGTGTTTGGAGGGGATGACATATTTTGTATATGTCCCTGAGTAATGCTCCTAAGAAAGGTGGATGTGAATTAGTTCAGAGTCTGTCTGAGTCCCTTCTCAGAAGGAATCACCCTAGCTTTATCACTGAAAGTCCCCTGTCCCAGGAAACCCTACAGTACCAGTTTTAGTGTTGAAAGGCTCTTGTCCTAGGAAATCCTTTAATTGTGGTTATAACATGGAAAGTTCTGCTTCCCAGGAAACTCCTCCCTTCTGGATTTATCACCCAAAGTCTAAAACCCCTTAGTCCTCGGCAAATCTAGATAGTTGATAAACCTAATTGTTTTTTAAAACAGGTCTAGACCAGAAACTATAGAGCTGGGTTGCATAGCATGGACCTCAAAAAAGCCACAGCCATGAAGAAGGATCCACAAAGAAATCTTGATGAGGATGTGAACCCCCAAACCACCCAGAAGATAAGAGATCACTTTGTCAAGTCTGGGGAGGTGAGCATTTTCCCCAGGTGTGGTTTACATTCCCTGCTAGCCTTCTGATGCTCCCTCCTTCCTTCTTCTTTGCTTGGCTGACTGGCAGTCTCCGCAGAGGGGCTTCTTTCCTCCTTTCTGGCCTATGAAGGGCCTTCTTTCCTGTGAGCTCCCTTCAGAACCTGAGCCAGGGGAGGCATTGGCCCTGAACTTTCTAACAAAAGACAAGGTTCTGTTTTCATCCTCTTTAATGTGTTCTGGAGAAGTTCATTGCCATCAGTGAAGCAAGGTAGGGAGCCTCACTTCTGTCTCTGGATAGCTAGGCCTTGGGTTATTGGGGGCTCAGTAGGGCCATCAGTCACCTCAAGGTTAGCACTGAAAGTTCTGTGGCTTCAAAGTCATTCCCTGGAATTGAAAGGTCCAGTGTTTGGCAATAAGTGTAGAAGTTTGGAAGAAAAATGCAAAACCCATAGATTTTCAACACTGTCTTTAGTGTCTTGAGGATGTGGCATAGATTATCCACTTTCTGTATGTTCTGTTGCCTGCTTTTTCTCTGAGCAGTGATACTGGCTATCATAATTTGCAGTTCAAGAAATGGTTATCCATGCATTATTGGGTCACTCGGAGCAATGTGATTTAAATATATCGCAACCATTCATATTGACAATCCATTTTTAACTTTGCCCACAGGTTATCTGTTACGTTGTGATTTTTTAAAAATGTTTGAAAATTGAAACATTATCTGATGTTTCTAAGACATCAGATAACGAATATGAAAATGATTATAATACCAATGCAAGCATGACCCTGTAACCAAAAAAGAAAGCTGTTTTAATAACAGATGGAAGTACACATATAACTGGATGATAAAAGTAATTACCTAAGTAGAGTACACTGAACGCTATGCAGAAAATAATTTGAAATTGCCATAGAAGGGAATGTGAAAGCTTTCATGGAGACTGAATCTCACAGATCAAGGACGAGACAGGCAAAAACTCCAAACAACAATTAAAGTATTTTCATTTTCCAAAAAGACACCTATGTTCAATGAATAACAACAACTGCTGAGTTAGCTCAGGCCTGCCACACAAACCAACATGCACTATTGTATCATTCCCTTGACGACTCCACAAAACTGAGTAAAGTTCCATTTCCTGATTTAGGGATTGTAACTAGAATATCCTGTGGGCTCACAAAAGTGGCAATCTTGATTACTGACGTATTGGTTTCTTACAATATATAGCTGACTTTGTCATATCTCCCCAACAATCATACTTCACCAGTACATTCATGGAATCACGGCAACAACAACAACAACAAAAATGTTCCCTCTAGCTCTGAGGTAATTTGACTTGAAAAATGGAGTTTCAGATCATCATCATGATTTCTGTGAGGATTTTAATGAGACCTCTGACATCATAAAGGAAAATATTGTTGATATTTTGTCTAACTATCAACTGGACCTGGCTCATCTACGTGCGTATTTATCAAGTGCTGATGTAAATCTTGGTATAGTCTATTCAACTTATGAACTTCTAGCCAAAGAAACTGAAAGGATCTTACTGGAACCATGTCCTGCACATCCTGACTAAAGTTCTGTTAAAAAAAAATAAAAGGCTATGATGCTGGGTGTGGTGGCACATGCCTGTAATTGCAGATACCAGGAGGTGGAGGAAGGAGGATCAAGATCTAAGGCTGGCCTGGACAAAAGTGGGAGACCCTGTCGAAAAAACAAACTAAAAGGCAAAACGACTGTGTGTGTGACTCAAATGGTACAGTGATTGTCTAGCATTCTTAGGTCCCCAAGTTCAGTCCCCAGTACCACAGTAAAGAAAAAAAAGCAGCCAAAGTGTGTGATTTGTGATATTGATATTTCCATTATGAGCATTTTTGGTTGCTTCCAGTTTCCTCAGTAGGTTTGGAAGCACTGTGAGACTTTCAACATCATGAAATGGAAGGAGATAACCTGTTTAAACAAGTGCCTACAGGATGGCTACCCTTGCTGCCAGCAATAGAAAAGATATTAAAATGTTGGCTTGCCAAAAAGTCATATTGTCAGTGTGAACAAGAAGAGTGTCCTTCTCAGATTTGGAAATATGTTGAGGTTGAGGGCGGTGGTAAGGAGCAGCATAGAGTAGATATTTGTAAGCTGATTGTGCAGAGCCCTCTGGTGATCTTTGAAGAAGCTAAAAGGAGCTATGAAGGATGGGCTGGGGCCAATGGCCCTGAGTTGTTCAATGTCATGGACAGGTTGAGATATAAGCTCAGACAGCAGAGAAATGATTTATTTTTGGGAAATAAGACTGTTTTGGAACTAAAAACAAACCTGGCAGCCAGGTTAAACAAAGACTTTCTCAATTTCCTTACTAAAATTGTCATTTATTTGGAGTTCGACTTTAATTTTACCAGTTCAGATTGTTTCTGTTCTCCTTGAGCAGACGTTTAGCTTATGCTCACATCCAGTAAGCTCAGTATGTTTAAAAGTGAGAGATATTTTAGACATGGAGAATGTCTATGATGAGTTTCTAGATGAACGGGTCCTGGTGACAAACAGCTGCCCTGTCAAAACAAGCCTGAGGATACAAAGTAGTGGGTGTATTTGGAGAAATGGAAACTCATCCTTAGCACTCTAAAAACTCCCTGTTGCTAGTAAGTAAAATCCTAAGCATTTCATGCTCAAACGCTTGCATTGGAGGATGTTTAGGCTGGTGTCTAAGCCAGGGCAGCCTGGCTTGAGAAGAGTGGAGCTGCAGGTCAGAGTGAGCCTCGCACCTGACTGTGTTCTGTTTACCATTGCATGAAGGAGCAGCTGGCTGCCTCAGGGCTACAGGCAGTTCAAGAAACTGTTATTGGAAGAGGACAGAAAGTGAAAATATTCTTCTGTGTCTAGAAAGAAATAGGTCACAGTTATTTTATTACTTAAATGTATGAAATGTCTGTTTAATTAGACGATTATATTCATGTTTTCCTTTAGATCTTATTTTGATATATACATCAAACATGTATCCATAGCATTTTAGTACACCAGCATGTATTGAAATTAGAATCAAACTATATATACATATAAATAATATATGTATACTACTTTGTACAATTTTTTTGTGGCACTGGGATTTGAACTCAGGGCCTCATGATTGCTAGGCAGGCGCTCTACCACTTGAGCCACTCTGCCAGCCCTGTATACTAATATGTATATAGGGTTGCTTATTCAAAATTTCTTTTACTGATGAGCAGAGGCCTAAATGATAAGTAGCCACATGGTATCTGAAAGGGAAGAAGAATCAAGGATATGAAGTGGACTTTTTATTTTTATTTTCCTTTTTTTATTGTTGTGCTGGTGGGGAGTACATTGTGGCATTTACAAAAGTTCTTACAACATATCAAATGACTTTTTAAATTTAACATGAATAAGTCCCTTGTGATATGATTTTTATGAATCAATCTTCCAAAACCAGGATATTGAAAGAGCTGAGACAACTAAGTTTCTGAACTGTTGATGGTGAGGACTAGGTTCAGGATCCCAGAGCATTCACCAAGGGTGAACATCCAGGGAGGCCCTGCCTGAGCAGCCAGTTGACCAGCCTCTTGGGCTCCTGACCTTGCTTCTCCTTTCTCTGATTCTGTGTACAGCCTATCATCACTGGAGATTTGGAGTTCTGCATTTGGGATCTATAAATCAGAAAGGGCCGGAGGATAGAAATCGGGAGATATGAGAACATAAATGGGAAAAAGAAGTTTCTATTTTCACTAACCCCTAATTGAAACTTAGCATTTCTTTCCATTAGGAAAATAGGCAGTAAACATACTGTATATATACCTTTGTCTGTCAACACTAAGAATCTCATATTCACATGTTATATATATATTTAAATACTTTCTATGTGTAGTATTACTTTGAAATTATGATAAAATTAGACCTTTCACTAGATTATGTCATCTTATGTTCACAAAGTAGTTTCCTTTGTAATCTTAGGTATTTTGTCTTGTACGTTACTCCAGAATGCCAAAAGCACCATCTTTCATATTGGGAGTTGAGAGTCTCTGCTGTGGACCTTGAACAAACAGCTTTACAGGTAGGCACAGGTGAATAGACTTTGCTGCACCCTCACCCTGTGCTCCAGCCTCACCATTCACTGTGCAGGGTTGAGAGGACATGGTCCCTTTGTCTAAGGACCATTCTGCTCCTCCATGATCAAGAGTACACAATTCCCATAGTGTACAGAGAGTTGTTCTTTTATGTTTAAGTGAAATGAGTTGAGTAGGAATATCCTGAGGCTGTTTACACCTCTAATACTTTAGCAGTAGAGTGGAAGGAAATCTCAAAGCATCTAGTCTAAGCCACATCTAAATTACTGAGGCTGGGAGTGTGGCTCAGTGGTAGAGTGACTGCCTAGTTTGCAGGAGGGCCTGCCTTCAAATCCCTAGCACATTATAAAAAAAAACAAAACAACAACAACAAAACCAAACCTTTACTTCAGATACTGACCCTGAGCTCCAAGGGAAGTTATTTACCCAGGTCACATCATTTGAATAATAAGGCATTCTGAGAGGGTTTTAGTTTTAACTCAGAATAGGTAAAGTGTTTTGAGGGTCTCAGGAGACCGGGGAGGAGACTGGGACCAGGATGGACATAGAAGGGCAGCTGGGAGAACTCAGAGTCAAATGTCAGGCACCACTTCCTGCACATCCCAGTGTCTTCCATCAATTCTCCTGTGAATCTTCAGGGATTTTATTAACTCCCTAGGACCAAGAGTTAGATGCAGTCACACAACTTCCTTGAAGTGGTTTTATGTTCAAAGAATAGATTCAACAAGTTTCACAAGACTTGCTGTGTACCTTAGCTGTGTATCTTTCTTTCTTTGTTATTCTGAAGAATTCTGCTGTTATCCCAGCCCCACAGAATCCTAGAGCTGTTTGGTCCTGAGGAGTGCTTTCTTCAAATCCCAGAAAGTCTGCCCTGTGAGGAAGAGTGGCTGCATTTAGCCTAGAAGGCAAAACTGAGTGAGATGAAAATTCACCAG